AGCTCATGTTGATCAAGGGTGAACTGTATTTAGAGAAGGAAGAGCCATAATTTCCAGTATTAAATCAAACTTCAGGTATTTCAATTATAAAATATTTTTTAAATATTTATAAAACACCTCCTGTATGCCATATACTTTTCTAGGCATTGGGGATGCAACAGTAAACAAAAACACTCAAAAATCTCCGCCCTCATGAAGATTACATTCTAGTGGTGGGAAACAAATGATAAATAAATTGATGGTCACAGGTGACCTTGACAAGAACAGTTTTGGTGGATTGTTGGGGGGCATAAGCCTGATTGCATGGGTTCAAGTGGGAATGGCAGGGGTAACGTTCAGTGTTAAATATTTTTCACTGTATCGGCACTCCAAATTTGCAAGTGGCCCTTTTATTCATAGCCAGTCTTGTCTTTATCATGACCAAAAAAAAGCCTATTATGGAGCATACATTTACAAAACACAGTTTCAAAAATCATTATATTTGACCAAAACTGGAAAATAAAGTGGGACAATAACAAAATCTAACACAATAAACTAGTCTATGTAGATAATCCAATCCATATAAGCATTCTCAAGTTTAGGATTGAATTTAGAGTGTACCCTTAAGAGTGTACCCTTAAAAAAAGTTATTAGCCGTTGAAAGGACAGTGTTATCCTTCATGGCCAACTTTAAATTTACTCACCAACCACCAGCCAACTCCCAGAGTAGTTTCTAATTTTTAAGTTAATACAGACATATCTTAATTATTCTTGTCAAAAAAAATGAAATAATTAGGTGATGTGTTAGAGGTGCTAATTAGAGCTACAAGGATAATCATGTTACAATGTATAAATGTTTCAAATCAACTATCATACACCTTAAATTTACATTAGTTACATATAAAATATTTCTAAATAAATAAGTAAATAATAAAAAGTTAATAGGACATAAAATGTTGCAATGATAGCTTGCAAAACAAGGCAGAACAGGATGAATTTTACTCTTGTTACTTTACTCCTAGAACTCTCACTTAATGGAAGGTAAGTCAGTTCTCATCTAAACTACCCTAGGAACCAAGGAATTCTATTACAATCTGCATTAGTTCCACCATTACCAAACAACCTTGACATAAACACAGTGACTTTACTCTGCCTACCACTTAGATATAATAATATCTTGCTTTTCAGTCGCAGGATGTGTTGAAAGTACAATTTAACATATTATGCTAATCGAAGTCAATCAGAGAAAGACAATTATATATCTCCCTCATACGTGGACTTTAAGAGACAACAGAGGATCATAGGGGAAGGGAGGGAAAAATAAAACAAGATGAAATCAGAGAGGGAGACAAACCATAAGAGACTCTTAATCATAGGAAACAAACTGAGGGTTGCCGGAGGGGAGGGCGGTGGGGAATGGGGTAATTGGGTGATGGACATTAAGGAGGGCACGTGATGTAATGAACACTGGGTGTTATATAAGATTCATGAATCACTGAACTCTACCTCTGAAACTAATAATATACTATATGTTAATTAATTGAATATAAATAGAAAAATAAAGTACAACTTAATAAACATAAAATTAGGAACCTAGAATTTCTGGTGCTATCTAGACACTGAATAGATTTGAAATGATGATTTACTATAGTCATTTCCTTTTTTCTGCAATGGGCATCTTGGTTAAATCGGCAGAGTGAGTGTACAAAAATGTTTTACTGAACATTTGTGATTACTTCAAAATTGGACAATAACTCCCTTTATTGTGTAAAGGGGCTTTAACTGATACTCAGAAGCTGTTCTAGGAGTCATCTTGTCTACACCTGTACTCTGGTGTACTCTAAAATTTTTTGGCTCAGATTGCTTTTATAGACTATTATGTTTGGCATATGACCAAAGCTAGCTGGGTTCTCCTGTGTAATAACTGTGAATATAAACAACTCATCTAACAATCCAGGCAAAGCCCAAGCCAGACACTATACATAGGCAGTAACACCTCCAAGAGCTAGAAAAAATGAAAAGCGGGAATACACATCCAACTAGATTACTAGTTTATTATAAGAGGAGATAATTCAGAAACAGTCAGATGTGAGATACCCCGGCAAGGCATGGGGATATGCCCAGAGCTTCCATGGCCCCTCCGGTGCACCACTCGCCCAGCACCACCCCCATGCTCACCAACCACAAAGCTCCAAAAACGGTTTTCTTCTCTCCCAAATTTCAGAAGACCTCCTTAGCTCCCCCAGTTATCTAGAACAATCTATTTTCTTCAAATCAGCCAACTGTCACTGCTCTCTCAAAATTTGCCAAATTATGGACAACCCCATAGAAACAAGGTGAGAAGAGATAAACAGGTGCACCTCTCTGCCAACCATTTCTGTAATATAGTTAGCCATGGCCTTGGAGAATTCATAATATTATCAAGTGAGGAAAAGGGAAAGGTCAGTACCAGATGGGCTGAGAAACTGTCATAATTTCCAAATTTGGAAATTATTTTCAAAGTAAGAAAAAATACATAAAAGGATTATCTGTTATTATGGGAAAAAAATAGAAAAAGGGATAAGATATACTTCATGTGATATGGACCCAGAAGTACAGGAAGACAGTACATGGTAGCAATTATTTCCTTATCTTACTAACATAAGAAAGTATGAATATAGAGTAATGAGACTGAGGTAGCAAGTTACACATGACAGTCATTCTTATCTTATGGTAACCAAATACGGCTAATGTTGCTCTAAATTATGAAAATGAATTAGTTATTTAAGGAACAGCTAGACAGCACATGCTTAAATGAGCTCATAGCATGTTGAGGGAGATAGAAACATAGACATATAACCATAATGAAATGTAGTCAGTGTATTAACAGATGTATACTTAAGCTACTTTAACTGGTGATATATCCCAAGAGAACTTGAAGAAAACTCTGAAAATAATGTTTTACTAAAAGGAAAAAATACACAATGAAGGCCTGTCCTTTTAAAAGGATTGAAATGTAACACAGTATTAGGTTACAATAGTTTTTTTCCATTTCATTTTATAAGTAAAACATTACAGGTTAAATGAAGCTAATCTTTAACCTCTCACTTTATAATCCCATAAAGAAAACCATTGTTTAAAACCATATTTCATTAAGATAAAAAGCTTTTGCACAGCAAAGCAAACAGTTAACAAAACCAAAAGACAACCGACAGAATGGGAGAAGATATTTGCAAATGACATATCAGATAAAGGGCTAGTATCCAAAATCTATAAAGAACTTACCCAAACTCAACACCCAAAGAACAACTAATCCAATCAGGAAATGGGCAGAAGATAGGAAAAGACATTTCTGCAAAGAAGACATCCAAATGGCCAACAGACACATGAAAAAGTGCTCAACATAGCTCGGCATCAGGGAAATCCAAATCAAAACCTCAATGAGATACCACCTCACATCAGTCAGAATGGCTAAAATTAACATGTCAGGAAACGACAGATGTTGGTGGGAATGCAAGCTGGTGCAGCCACTCTGGAAAACAGTATGGAGGTTCCTCACAAAGTTGAAAATAGAGCTACCCTATGACACAGCAATTGCACTACTGGGTATTTACCCCAAAGATACAAATGTAGGGATCTGAAGGGGTACCTGCACCCCGATGTTTATAACAGCAATATCCGCAATAGCCAAACTATGGAAAGAGCCAAGATGTCCGTCGACAGATGAATGGATAAAGATAAATCAAAAGGAATGAAATCTTGCCATTTGCAATGACATGGATGGAACTAAAGGGTATTATGCTAAGCGAAATGAGTCAATCAGAGAAAGATAAGTATCATATGATCCCCCTGATATGAGGAGTTTGAGAAACAAGACAGAGGGTCATAGGGAAAGGGAGGGAAAAATGAAACAAGACGAAACCAGAGAGGGAGACAAACCATAAAAGACACTTAATCTCAGGAAACAAAAAGAGGGTTGCTGGAGTGGTGGGGGTGGGAAGGATGGGGTGGCTGGGTGATGGACATTGGGGAGGGTATGTGCTATGGTGAGTGCTGTGAATTGTGTAAGACTGATGAATCACAGACCTGTACCCCTGAAACTAATAATACATTATATGTTCATTAAAAAATTAAAAAAATATATTTTTCAGAATAACAACAACAACAAAATAACAACAAAAAACAAACAAAGAGATAAACACATTGGGTTGGATTCTTGCTTTTCTAGCATAAAATGCCCTTGATTATTATTGGTATGTATGCATTTCTTCAGGCTGTATGTTTAGAGACTTGGAATTCATGTGAACTGCAATGAGGAAAGAATATTCTAAACTAACAAACTCTTCTGTACATTATGCTTTATTTTAGTATTGGCGGGTTTTGATGTGTTTTGCCACAAAGATACACACATATCAAAAAATAAAAATAGATTTTAAAGCAAGAAAACAATTCACAGAATTCAAGCAGTCATTTGAAATAACCTCGTCTTTGTGGAGAGATGTCATTGAGCCTCACGATACCTCTTTCTTCACTTAGGTTAACATGGATCTGCATCCCTTACATGCTGCCATCACTAAAACTTGGGAACTCTACAGATTTATGAACTCCTAAGAGATTACAAAGTTTCTCTACCTTGTAGGGAGGGGTAGGAAACAATGCATTTATTGTCTCACAATATGCTTTAAGAAAAGTAATATTATCTCAGATCACTTTACAGATGATGACTGTGCTCTTTAAGTATCCTGCCTGAAATGAGATTCCTCTTTCTCAATTCCCATAACTTTTACACACAATTTTCTGACACCTGGAGAAAATTTCTAGATATCAAATTCAGATAGCCTGCCCATCAACTGGTCAAAACTGCCACCTACTGGTCAGTCTTCAAATCTATTTTTCCCTTGGCCCAAGCCTTGCTTCACCATGGTCAGATCCCTTCCTTCAAAATGGTAAAGGTCAATTACTATAACCAGACATAAAGCAATTATCCTTTTACCAACATTCACCCTCTCTAGGGTAAACCAAAAATGCCAAATCGTACAAACCTGCCAATAAAATCATCCCTTTTCCCAGCGTCTTTGTCCCAGGCAGTGATATCAATAATCCCACCTTTCTCTTCATAGAGATGAAAATCAAATTGTTCCCTCCACTGAGGATTCAAGGTTTTTGGCATAATCTGGAAAACAAAAAAAGTAATTGTTGTCACATAAATATCAGTCTTTTAAAAAAATTTAACTCAAGGCATTAAATCAAAATTAAGGTGCTATCTAGAAAAGCATGTGTGAGATTTGAACAAAAGCTTCCAGAAATGATGGAAATGAGTCATTAGATATCTAGTATCTTTAATGCATATCATCTGAAGGAACCCTTGAGGATATGTCCTGAAAACCAAAGGGCACCCCTTTGTCATCTTGAATAAGAGATGAGACGTATGAATTATACAGAAAAGGCAAATAGTCTATAAGTGAAATAGCTCACTCAGATACTAGCATTTATTTTACATAACTGGTTAATGCACAAAGACACAACTCACAGTCTGTCATCTCATAATAGAGGGAGATGTGGATTCCCAGGGTTTTTTTTCCCCCCTTACTCCCCGCACACATGGGAATTCTGAGCTGAATACATGAAGAAACTCCAGACAATGAAGTTCTATGGGAGCAGGAGGAAACAGCAAGTAACTTTGGGGTGGTCAGGCAAACATTTATGTTAGAATTAGAGCACTGATGTTTCATCTCCATTTTATATCTGGAGAAACTGAGACCTAGAGTTGAAGTGACCGACGTTTTAGTATCTAGACTTTAACTCAGGTCTTTGATTAGAGCCTCAGATCTCTTCCCCAAAACAACATGCCAAAAAATGTTTGTGAATTAATATGAGTGTGTGTGTATAATCTCTATGTTGCAAATACAAAAAAGTTATCTTATTCGAAATACAATTTTGTAACTTTAAGTATTCAGATAAGACATCTGGTAGAATCAAGGAAATAGAGTGACCCATATTGATGTGCTTTGAAATTTCATTCACCATTGGGTTAAACAACATTCATATTTGTTTCCCTATTCTTTCTTTTTAGCAGGAGGGCATGCAGTGGCCTTTTCTCTTTTGAATGTATAAGGGACAGATCTTCAGATGTAAAGACTTCGAAAGCAATGAAGTATGTTATGGGCAAAGGTAATACAAATGAATCACAATTTTTAAAGTTCATAATCTGAAATTAATCAGCAATATATCATGAAAAAAAGAGCAAAGAGAGACACGTGTCCATAGCTGAGTTTCATATTTCATACCTAAAGAGCAGAACTATAAAAATAAGTAATGTTTTAAGTCTACCAGAACATGGAAATGATGTTAATTGATAAAGGACAAGACAGAAGTGGCTATAGGTACCTATTTTTGGAATCAGTAGTTTCTTTAAAATATATTATTAAGTCCATGGCAGAAAAAAAAAAGATGGCACTAGAGGATCCTATGATAATTCAAACCTCTCATTATTGGGTTCAGATGCACTTCTATGGTATTTTGGGGAATGGTCTGTCTTCCTTATTTGGCCATTAAGAGCCTAATTTTTCAGTTTCCTTTTTAAGGGCTGTCTTCCCTATATGATTTCCTTCAGGTCAGAAGTGGTGCCTTGCCCCTCCATGTGGGCACTCAAGAAGGTAACCAATCAGCCTGTGAGCAGTTCTCACTGCCTACTAATGAATCAGCTCTGTGATATTTCTAACTACCTAGTTACTGATGAAAACTTCCTGTGCCAGAAGGAACCTAGGCAGGCTATTTATCAAAAGTTCTTGAAAATGATAATGTCAAAGTGAAGATATTCCCATCAAAGTAGAATGTGATTTTTAAGACAAGACAGATATGATGAGTTGTCCCAAGCGATGAATACTAGCTGTAGAAGCTGACCATTTAAGAGGTTGTATTTGTTTTTGTTGTGGTTTTTCGTTTTTTTTAAAGTTTTTATTTATTTATTTAAGTAACCTCTACACCCAATGTGGGGCTCAAACTCATGACCCCAAGATTGAGAGTTGCATGCTCTTCCATCTGAGCCAGACAGGCCCCCCAAAAAGGTTGTATTTGGATACAACACAGATAAGACATGTGCCACAAATAAACTATGACCACTATGGCCTTTGCTAATTATTATTACCTCTCTCAATAATATGATACTAAGATGACTTTAATATAATATATTATTACTACTAATATAATTGTTATTACACAATATACTTATTACTGCTTCTAATCTTCTTTCTGCTACTACCATTTATTGAGTATTAATTATGGATGAGACAGTATTCCAAGCCCTTGACATGCATAACATATATTTATTCAGTCTTCTCAATAACATTATTAGGTAGGCATTATTTTTTTTATATTTTTTTAAAGATTTATTTATTTGTCAGAGAGAGCGAGCACAAACAGGGTGAGGGCAGGCAGAGGGAGAAGCAGGCTCTGCACTGAGCAGGGAGCCCGACGCGGGGCTCGATCCCAGCACCCCGGGATCATGACCTGAGCTGAAGGCAGATGCTTAACCGACTGAGCCACCCAGGCGTCCCTAGGCATTATTTTAATTCTCATTTTTACAGATGGGGAAACTGGGGCATGGAGAGTCAGAGTAACCTGCCCCATGGCACACCGCTAGTATGGAGAGCAGGAATTTGGCCGTTTGTTTTCTAAATAAATAAAGGAAAAAACTTGCAGTCTGCATTGGTGTAAGTCAGTTGGGATAAAATGTTTCAGAGTAATGTACAAAGACTTTTAGTATCTTTACATGGTATGTAAAATAATGCTATTTGTAGTACTGATACCAGTTAATAATTATAATAATAATAGTAGCCAACACTCCACTCAGCATGTTATGCGCCAGTCATCAATTTAGGTTTGTTCCAGCTTTTTTTTTTTTTTCTTTAAAGATACGTTCAACTCCTGTGTTATAGATAAAGAAGTTGAGACAGGAAAGTAGTTCACGCAAGGTCACACAGCACATTAAGTAAGAAATGCCACAGTAGAGTTATTGGTCAGGTTTGCTGACCCGATGTTCGAAAGAAGTTCTGTTAAGCATTTAAGAAAGTATCTAGTGTTTTCATCTCCCAAAGCATGGCCATTAACCAACCACTGCCTGCCAAATACTGACAGGAACACAAAAGAGATATGGTTACCTTGCTCTTATACTTCTGATGCCCAAGCCGGAACTTCACATAGGGGTCACTCAACCCATTTGAATCCATTGCCTTGAGGTCTCGTCCCTCAATCAAAGTGATGCTGACTATTCCTCTCCAAAGCTGTGATTTTCTGTGTACGTCTGATAGACGTAAACTTTGGGTCTGAAACTTTTGGTAAAGGAAAACAGAGTTAGCCTCTTGAGTTTTGAACCAAAATACCTCATTTGGCATTACCCTTTCTCCTGTTACGATTTTTTGAAAAAAAAAAAAAAAAAAAGGTAGTTAACAATTAAAAAAATAAACATAACTTACAGATTATTTATTAATTATAAAACCATCAATAAATGTGAAATTATCATCTCATGATAAACTTAAGGTTGCTGTTTAAAAGAGGCGAATGCTCAAAATAAAGTCGTTTTCCAACTCTTAAAATCACAAGATGTGGATACTTGAAGAACGCCAGAGAATATATGCCTGTGTGTCAAACACACCAGTGTCAAAATATGTAAAAAATAAATATAAATACCAAAGGCCTCATCCACACTGCGATATTTAATTTGTAATTAGTTATGGTTTTTGAAGATCTCTTTTTCATGTTACCAGTTGGTTTTAGTAGTGAGTTTTAGTTGTAAGGTTAGTTACGAGTTCTGTGCAGACAATTAAAAACCTTCTTCGTTGCTACGTTAGGAGACAACGGAGTTCCAGTGCACTAGGGAAGGTTCTGTAGAACAGAAAACGCAATCAATATGCCCATCTGAGGTGTCTTGCTTATGCTGAAACTTGCATCACTAATTTTAAAAGTTACATATGTGATTTACATTGGTGGGTATGTTTCTGAAATTACTTCTCACTCTAGTTCTTGAACATGTCCCTTCATGATTTTTATTATGCTCAATTCTAAGTCACAATATTCGAGCCAGTGAACAAAGTCACAATTTTTGAAAATTAGGAAGCCTACCAGAAATGGCTGTATAATCTTTTTGAACTAAACAGCACATACAACAAATCAAAGTAGCTAAGATGTTAAAAATCTTTTCGATTTGGATTCAGAACCAAGCGGTACTATATTGTCAAGCATGTTTTTTTTCACTTACAGTCATTTCATGAAGAAATTCAACATGTCTCTCCACCTCAAAGTACCCCATTTCTAAATTATAGATTAACTCTGCTTTCAGCCCAATTCCTTCAACATTAACATTATAAAGTTATAGCCTATTTTGTATAACTCCCTCTCTCACTTTGAATTCCTGCTTTTTTTCCTTACCACACTAACGCCATAGCCATTTTATCTATCATGAAAAGTAATGCATTTCAGGTTGCTTTTATTAGGAAAATGATAACTACATTTTTCAAAAGGCAATACTTTTTATATTTGAACATTTTAATGGAAATCTTTATAAATTGCATTACCTGGTTCCCTGCCTTGGTGATCCCCAAATTTTGAACAACATTGCCTGGTGGCTCTGCCTTATTAATATCAACATAGACTGCACCTACACAGCCCATACCTCTGTGAGCTCCGAGAGCAGCGTTCAAGTGTGTTCTGGGGTGCTTTGGACTTTCACAGAGCACCTGTAACTTCCACGGGACTCCATGCCCCACTTCAGCTAGAGTCCCTCTGCTCTCGTCTGTTTCACACATTGACTCTCTGCATTGGCTTTTGTTTGAACCAAGGATTTATCAGATTAAAAAGTTTATTGCACCAAGTGACCTTGAAGGGGTTCTAAGATTTCATGCTACTTATTAATATATAATGCAGCAATAGATAACAGTGTGTTTTTATTCATTTATTTTGTTATCTTTCTTTCTATCTATCTATCTATCTATCTATCTATCTATCTATCTATCTATCTAACCACTTCTGCCGCTCTTGAGATTGCCTCTAACTACCGACTCTAGAAAAACAGATTCTAAACTTTGGGTCTGAACGTTTTGTTAAGGAATGTAAGTGGCAAAGAAGGAAGGAAAAATGAATTTTTGATAAGTAAGAAGAAATAATTATCTTAGCAAAGGCCAAGGAGTTAATAACAACCCATTTACATAGAGCTATAAAATTTCAAAGTGCATGGGTGTGCATTATATCACTTGATTCCCACTAAAACCCTCTGCAGTAGGAAGACAAGGCCTGCTATTTCCATTTTAATGATGAGGAATTTGAGGCTCAGTGTGGTTTGGGCTAATAGATGTTGGATGTTTGACTAGAACCCAGTATTTCTGACCTTTATTCCTGAGCTTCTCCCAATATTGGTCTTTGGGGTGGAGACTCTCTCCTAGGTTTAAAAGTAATCATGATTTAAGTATAATGTTCCTAATGTTTGTATGTTCCAGGGAGGTGAGTTGTTATATTTGAAATGACATTCCAGTCTAGATTTTCCTCCACAGTAATATGTGAAATCACCTTCTACTTTTCTCTTGTAGGAGCACATGCATTCATACTTACAAGACTTCAGCTTGTTGATGGATATACTTAATAACATTTTCTAGGCACTCTAGAAGTAGAAGTCTCACAGGGCACTCAGTCACATTAAACGTGGGTACAATCTAGGCTACGTAGCACCTTCAATTAGCAATGCTAAGTTAGCTTCTCGAATGGTACTGAGTCTGAAACCCTTCCTAGCTTGCCCCTCCTTTCGTTTCTTACATGAGAACAGGAACTTTACTTACAGGGTGGGAAGGAGAAAGAATGCTTTCCATGGGATCCTTTATGATTTCATAGAAATAAAATGAACTTCATGGAGGCTCTACCTACTGCCATTCATTACAAAATTCTTTTCTATAACCTGGAAGAATATTCCTAAAACGAGTTGGAAAGCCAAGGGAGAGGAAGAGGAATACTGCTTCACACAAACAGGGTTAATGAATGTGGGAATTAAGGTGAACTGCATGAAAGATTAAAAGGAAAAAGGAGAGGGGGTCCCAAAGGCATACTAACCAGATACCATTTTAAAAGGAATTTTTCCATCTTCAATATTTTTATTTGTTAAAAATGAAGCTCCATAAGGGGTGCCTGGGTGGCTCAGTCAGTTAAACGTCTGCTCAGGTCATGATCCCATTGTCCTGGGAACCAGCCTCATGTTGGGCTCCCTGCTCAGCAGGAAGCCTGCTTCTCCCTCTGCCTCTGCACCCCCCAACTTGTGCTCTCTCTCTCTCAAATAAATAAATAAATAATTTTTTTTAAAAAGAAGCTCCATAATTCATTTGTGATTTGATTAATGCATAGTCATGAAACGGATAAATATTTAGTCTAAGTATAAAGAATAGGAACTTGAAATAAAATTATAAGGTAAAGGGGGAAGATAGAAAGCTACACCACCAGTACGAGAAGAGACAATGACTTAACATAAGGACCCACTTGCATCTTTCTAGCAATTTCTGACTATGTGACTTAGGCATGTAGCTCCTTCTCTGGGCCTCAGTTTTCTTTTTTTTTCTTTCTTCCTTTTTAAAGATTTTATTCATTTATTTGTCAGAGAGAGAGAGACCACAGCAGGGGGAGCGGCAGGCAGAGGGAGAGGTTCCCCACTGAGCAAGGAGCCCAACGTAGGACTTGATCCCATGACCCTGGGATCACGACCTGAGCCAAAGGCAGATGCTTAACTGACTGAGACACCCAGGCATCCCTGCGCCTCAGTTTTCTTACCTGTGGTTCTCCAGACTGTACTCCAGAGCTCCAAGTGTACTAAGAGCACTATTCTGTGTGTGTGTGGGGGGAGGGAGTAAAGGGGGGTTAAGGGTGTCTGTGGGTAGGGGGGCCTGAATAGAAAACAGTATATCCCATAAACAGAAAAGATTGAACCTGCTTAAGATAGTCATTTATCACTTTTATTAATTTTTTAAATCAAGTTTCGGGAAGCTCGTTGAAGGGATGGTGACAAATGGAATTCCACAACTATAAAAAAAAAATGAAACTTTGAAAACCACTAGTGTTAACGCTCTTCAAGATACTTGCTGAGTCACTTGCTGCTCTATTTAAAGTTTCCTCCCTCTGTATAGCAAAGTTCTCAAAGTGTGGGCCACAGACCAATGGCATCAATGTCACCGGGGAGTTGGCTAGAAATACAAATTCTTTAGCCGCACCCCAGACCAACAGAATCAGAAGCTCTGGTTTACTCAGCCCTCACTCAAGGTCATTCTGATGCATGTTCAAGGGTGCGAACTCCTGCTTTAAAAGTTCTAAGGGTCATAGGCATTGGCCTTCTCCTATGTTCTCATTACTATTATTAATTACTATAATTGTGAATATTATCCATTCTCTTGCATGGATACCATATATGCTAATTAAAGTCTTTCAGTCCTGTTTCTAAATTTACCGATTAGGATAGCAGGTTGGTCTGGATATTTGGAGAATTTCAAGAGAGAAGCAGGAGCCTGCTGCCAAGTTGTGTTAAGTTCATTTATTATTTCCTTCCTTTAGCGTTTTTTTTTTTCTCATAGGATGTACTTAAATAACATATATTAATTGAAGTATTGATAATTAGTCAATCAAAAACTGCTTATTGAGCACCTAAATGGAAAGAGTGTTAGATCCAAGATATCTCTCAATAAAATTAACATATTAGAGCTGGGATTTAGTTATCTGAGATGTTTTCAATTATGTCCTTGTTGAAAGAGAATTCTGTTTGAGGAAAGAAATAGGAAGGAAGAAGAAAAAGGAAAAACAACCTAGCTTCGAAGTGAAGAACCAACACTGCAAAAGGAGGAAATAACCTTTGAACTTTTAAAGGACTAATTCCCAAATTTTAGCAGGCAGTTTGTTGAGATCAATGGGCCTGACCGTCCTGGATGTGATTCGGTTCTCGTGCAGCGGAGCTACTCGAGTATTTCCAATGTGCGCCCCACGTGATCCTCATGCACACTGAAGTCTGAGATCCTTCTCCTAAGGAACATTCATTCATCCAAGTTCAAACTTAATCAAGACTATCAAGACACTAGGTATCAATACCAATTTGAAATTCTGAGGCAATTAGTCAATGACCTGTATCATTAGTAAGATTTTAGAATGGGTGAGATGGCATCTTAAGGAGAATATTCGTTTATGCATATTATTCCTTGACAAGGAATTCAAGATTCAATTCCTCTTCATATGCATAAAAGAAGTTAGAATAGGGAATAGGTTTTCAGAACAGTAAATTAGCCATGAGAATTCACAGCCCATGCAAGCTCAGAAG